TATCTTCTAACAGAACAAGAAGGCAAGCAGCCTTAACCCAAGTTCACCAGTAAGGTGATGAAGTTTCTGCCCTTTCCCCCTTCACGTCATCGCCCCTGTTCAGCATGAAGAAGCCAGAGAGTCTGCATCCAGTTCCCAAATCAGTAAGACAGTTGATTTAATTACCATTGGAAAATGCTTGTCATTTTCCTGTAGCATCTGGTCCCCACTGGATCCTTTTCATTTCCTTCACCTGCTCCCCCCACCAACCAATTTCTGCAGATCTGCAACTGCATCCCTGCCCATCCTCACCCTTCTGCCCCCAACCCTCACCTCTTTGTACCCCCAATATGTTTTTTCCCAATTAAAAAAAAAAAAGTTAAAAAAATAAAAGAAAAAGAAAGGAAAAAAGTTTTATCTTAACACTCTGGTGACATTCAAGACATTTTAGTAGCATGTGGGAAATTTCTCCTCAATTTTTCAGAAATGACAGACCAAAATGGATGTGAGAAAAATTTTGTCCTTTAAGAATTTATACCTTAGTTAATAGCTGGACCTTGTTTTATGAACCTCTTTCCGGATCTGAAGACATATGTTAGATTTTCAATTAAAAAGCAAAAACAACTACTGAGAATCACAGCAAGTCTATTTTAAGTCACTGCTTGGCACATAATTGTACATCGACCACCTCTGGCACATAATTGTACATCGACAACTTCTGTTACTAAAAATTGCTGAATTTCCATTAGGAAATGCACTTTACCCTAAATCCTCCTTACTCATCAATAGTGATCATATCTTCTACAGCCTGTTCTGCAGCCTTTTCTGGGGACTGTAGGTTATAACAACTCATTTCCATCATAACTGACATCTCCATAGTTACCGACTCTCCAATCAGCCGCAGGCATTTTATAAGACACATGACATCCCGAGCAACATCCACATCTGAGTGAGAGAGAGTTAACATTCAGGTCATACAAGTCAACGAAAATCTACTGACAAATTGATAAATTTCATTAAAATAAAATATTAACAATTAAATATGAGGTCTTGGAGAAGCGTAGGCCTCTTTAGTTTCTTTTAAACATTGATAATGTGGTAAACCGAACAGAAAAGGTCAGAATGGCCATCAATGTTGCTGCTTAAATCCCTTCTCTTTTTTTCCTCATAATACCTTATTATAATTTTGGTTAGTTTATAGCAGATTAAGTTCCCATTTAGTAATCTCTATACGAACTGCTCTGTGACTCTGGTTACAGTTTTCCTAAAGTGTCAAGAATATTGTCAGTGAATCCATTCAGGACGTTCTATTTCTAGTAATCTGGTTTCCCTATTCCCTTATTCTTTTATCTTTGCTTTTGAGTAACTATTGCCTACAATCAGTGTTTTTTGCAACCACTTAAAATGAAAGAGTTTACTAGGAAGAGAATGAAATACAGATAGACATAATTATTACTATTACCATCAGATATGGCTGTCTCATCCTCAGTCAAAAAGTTCTCATCAGGCAGGAGATACAAATGGTCCACTAAGGAGGAGGGCATAAGGAAAGACAGGTATCCCTGGAAACATAAAGCATCCAATCATATTTTCCACCTAGTTCGCTCTTTGTTTCTTTCTCTTTCACATCAGCATATCTTAATATGACATCAGGCTTCAGAATTAAGTCCTTTTATCATTCATCATTTGTTCCCGTTCATTTTAAAAGTCGTAAGACATTAGAAATAGGAGTCTTATCATGAGGAGATATTAAAACAAAATTAAATTGAGAAAATGGTTCTGTATGCTAAAAAAAAAAAGTCAGGCATGGAAGACAAACAGCTTGAGATTAAGCTTAAAAAACATGGCCATGAAATATTAAGCACAATCTTGGACAATCTTTCTGGCACAGATCCAGGGGAAAAAATAGGCTGCATTTTATCAATATCAAATTGCTGGATTTTTACAAGGTTACATTATTGTTCTTAGATGATGCTAAAGTATTTAAGAGTGATGAGGCATGACAATCACAACTCTCAAATGCTTAGGAAAACCCCCATATGTATACAGGAAGGAAAAGCAAATTTAAAAAGTTACTTAATGGTGGGATTGAGTGCAGGATGTGCAGAAGTAGCTGAGCTATTAAGCCTGAAGTTACTCCAATTATGAAGCAGACAAATAAATGCAAAAATCTTATACAAAGAAATAATAACGTTGACTACTAACTACAAGCAAATTCCAATTTTAGACAAAAAATACTTTCAATGCTGTAGAGGTTAAGTACAGCGTATTGGGATGGGCATGTTGTAAGGTCCTCGGAACCATCAAGGAGTTCTGCCTGCCTCAGCTGCCTCACCTTTTTCAGCAGGCACACCGTATTTGTATGTGGATTTAAGTGCAGGGCAAGAGGACGAGAGAGAGCTTCCTGATACTGAAGACAACAGGCATAGAACTTGCACCAGAATTCCTGCTGCAAACTTCTGAACTCCTCTTGGGAGAATTCATACTCTGTCACATTTTCTTGGAGCTGGCAAAAAAAAAAAAAGAAATTAAATGCGATATATTCAAGATCTTTCTTTCCAGTGAACATACTGTCCAGCATCACGAAACCTGTGACTTTATGTAAAATAAAAGACTTTATGTAAAGTAAAATCAGAAAAGGAAAACGCAAATATTTGGTACTGAAATAAATGGCAAGAAAATGGAAGAATGCACGTGATCAAAGGTAGAAACTTGCAAAGCCCCCAAAAAGCAATCTCAGCTTCAGCTCTTAGTGGTGCCTGGCTGACCAACTGGAAGAGATATGTATTTGTTCCCATTCCAGAAAAAGGTGATCCAACGGAATGTGGAAAATGTCAAACAGTATCATTAATATCACATGCAAGCAAAATACTGCTGAAGATCATTAAAAGACATCTAAAACAGTATATAGAGAGAACTACCAGAAAGGGGATTCAGAAGAGGCCATGGAACCCCGGCTATCATTTGCTGATGTCAGATGGATCCTGGCTGAGAGAATACCAGAAGAATGTCTACTGTGCTTTATCGGCCATGCGAAGCTATTTGACTGTGTGGATCATAACAAATTATGGCTAACATTGAGAATGAAAATCCCAGAACATTTAATTGTACTCATGCAAAACCTAGACCTAGCTAGGCCAAGAAGCTGTTTTGCGAACAAAGCAAAGGAATACTATATGAGTTAAAATTAAGAAAGGTGTCAGGGTTGTATTCTTTCTCCATACATATTTAATCAGTATGCTGAGCAAATTATTCGAGCAGCTGGACTTTATAAAGAAGAATGTGGCATCAGGATTGGAGGAATTTTCATCAATAATCCTTGGTATGAAGATTCTCACCACTGGGCCAAATGGCAGCATCATGATGGATGGTGAAGAGATTGAGATTGTTCATAGCTTTAGTTGTTTGACTCCACAATTAACACTTTTGGCACCTTCAACCAGGAAATTAAAAGACGTATTGCAATGGGAAAGTCTTTGATTAGAAGACCTCTCTAAAGTACTGACGAGCAATGGTGTCTCTCACCTCCTGCACTTGAGCCCAGAACTGCACTTATTGTGTCAATCCACCTGGTTGAGGGTCTTCACCTTTGCTGACCCTCCTCCTTTCAGAGCATCATGTCCCTCTTTAAGGGAAATGCCCCTCCCAACAACATGCCCAAAGTATGTGAGGTGAAGACTCATCATCTTTGACTCCAAAGAGCACCCTGGATACACCCTTTCCAGGACATATTTATTTGTTCTTTTCGTCGTCCATGGGACAGATGTTCAGTGCTCTTCTCCCACAGCACAGCTCAAGGGGAATGTTCCTTGGATATCATGCTTGAAGAGGTAGCGGACAGCGAAGGAGAGGAAGACCCTTAACTAGGTTGAGTGACACAGTGACTGCAGCAATGGGCTTGTGTGTGTCAGAGACTGTGAGGTTGGCACAGGATAGGAGAGGGTTCAGATGTTGCTCAGAAGGTCATGAAGAGTTGTACTTGATTCAAAAGCACTTAACAAGGTGCCATTATGTTGATTCCAAGCCATAACAACCCTATGCACAACAGAACAAAACACGGCACCATTCTTATCCCATTACTGCAGCCTCTCGTACCAGACTATGTTCACTGAGGAGCTTCCGCTATGCTGCCAAACCTCCACTTCACCGGGCATGATGCTCTTCTTTAGTGACTGGCCTCGCCTCCACGTCTAGTCCAAGGGGCACTCTGCTGCACTTGGTCCACGACAGGTTTGTCTGACGTTCTGGCCGTCACTGGCACGTGTATTCAATGTTCTTCACCAATACCATAGTTCTGCTTTGATTTTCTTTACTCATGCCATCTGAGTTCATGAAAAATACCCTTGTTTAGGTTAGGTGTCCTTAAAGTGATATTCTTAGTTTTTAAAAGAAGATTTTTGCTGCTGATCTGTGCAATGCAATACATCAAATGATTTTTTCAACTACTATTTCTATGAGTGTTGATTTTGGATTCAGGAAAAATGAAAATTGGGGTTTTTTTCCTCCCGTCCCCTCCCCCGTGTCCCTCGAAAAATGAAATTTTTGACATAATTTTTCTATCACATGTTAAAATGGTCCCGTTTTGAAGATTTTTGTTTTCTAAAATGCTCCTTATGTACATGTCACAGATAGACAAATTTGTTATTAGGTGCCCAGGTGATCTCTGATTCTAACAGAATGGAATTTGGCCTGATCTTGTGCCACCATCACATTCTCTGCTGTGCTTAAACCCATTATTCCAATCACTGTGTCAGTCTTTCTCATTAAGAGTCTTCCTCTTCTTTGGTGATTCTCTTAGCACATTGTCTTTTCCAAGGACTCCCTCTCTGGACAACATGCTCAAAGTATGTGCGATGATTCTCAACATCTAAGGAGAAGTGTGGCTGTACTTCGTCAGAGACAGCTGTGCCAGCTCTTCTTCTGTTAGTCCAGAGCAGATGCTCTGTTCTTCACCAAAACCATGATTCAAAGAAAGGCATCAAGTCTTCTTTGGTCTTTCTTATTAATTTTCCAGTTTTTCTATGCATGTGAGGTGACTTAAAATATCATGGCTTAAGTAAGGAATATCTTCAACCAATATCCCTCTCTTTTTCTTTTTTTTTTATATCCCTCCCTTTTTTAAAAAAGGTTCAAAGTGCCTCAGATTTGCTCAATGAGATAATTTACTTTTTTCCTCCCCCACAGTTATGGAGTTTATTGGGGCAGGTAAGAGGCTATTAATTTAGTTTGGCAACAAGAGAGAAGTCCTCTGTCCAGACAGCTTCTCAAGCATGGTTGCAGGCCCTTTGACCTTCAGCCTTACAGCTTAGGTCAGGTTTACAAAGTTCTCTCAGTCCTGCCAGCTCCGGTGTCCTCCGGCAGCTTGGGGCTAGGCCTCTTTACTCTGGCTCCATGGGGCAGCAATCACCTCAGCTCTGTCTCAGGCTGGTCTCTGGTTCTCTGCTGAGGCTCCTGTCTAGATCTTATCTGGCAGGTGCAGGAATTCTAGGCTTCAAAGGATGTGCGCTTCTTTTTCCTTGTTGGTACTGAGACTTTTCAATAATTTACTTTTTAAAAAATTTTTTTATTTTATTATTTTGCGTGTGTGTACTGTCAAATGGGATCTGACTGGTACAGGAGAAGATTGTTCCTCCTTCTCCAGCAGCGCATCTGGTAGATTCAAACCATGCACCTCTGGGATTGTAGTGCAGCTTCTTGCCATTAGGCCACCAGAACTCCCTAATCTACTTTTTTTTTAACTAAAAGTTTTAAATCTTTATTTCCTATTAACAAGGCCACAAGAACAATCCAAACAATCTGTTCCTACTAATCTGCCCCGTATTAACAAGAAGAAATTATCACCATTATGCCAAATAAACCTCACCTCACTTTCAACAGCTAAAGTGACTTCTTTCTTTAGTTCACTCCAAGAAAGATCCAGATTTCTTTCACTTCCTCGGCAAAAAATCTAAGAGAAAGAAGAGACATTTTAGAGTACTATATAATTACTAGAAGAGAAATATTTAAGTTTAAGAGGATTAGGCCTTTCCTGTGAGCGGCTTCAGGTAATCTGCCAACATGGTTCGCTACTCGCTTGACCTGGAAAACCCCACAAAATCATGCAAATCAAGAGGCTCGAATCTCCGGGTCCATTTTAAGAACACCCGAGAAACTGCCCAGACCATCAAGGGTATACATATCCGGAAAGCCACCAAGTATCTGAAAGATGTCACTTTGCACAAGCAGTGTGTGCCCTTCTGACGATACAACGGTGGAGTTGGTAGGTGTGCCCAGGCCAAACAGTGGGGTTGGACACAGGGTCGGTAGCCCAATAAGAGTGCCGAGTTTTTGCTGCATATGCTTAAAAACGCCGAAAGTAATGCTGAACTTAAGGGTTTAGATGTTGATTCTCTGGTCATTGAGCATATCCAGGTGAACAAAGCTCCCAAGATGCGCCGCCGCACATACAGAGCTCATGGTCGGATTAACCCCTACATGAGCTCCCCCTGCCATATTGAGATGATCCTTACCGAAAAGGAACAGATTGTTCCTAAACCAAAAGAGGAGGTTGCCCAGAAGAAAAAGATCTCCCAGAAGAAACTGAAGAAACAAAAAATTATGGCTCGAGAATAAATAACAAGGGAGAACTGGCTGATTGAAGGAATTTAAAGGGAGATTAGCTGAGAGAAAATCGTGAACATGTTATTCAGGCAGGTAATGCAGGAAAGTACCTAGAAGAGAAGTCAAGGGTCTTAAAGCCACATCACCAGAGATAAAGTTAAGGAACCATTGTATTTAACCTGGAGAAAATACTACATGGAAGAATCCTGAAAAATGTAACAACTTATTTTATGAAAGAGACACAATCTACAAGGCCTCAGGGAAAGAAGCCACCAAAAAGGTGGTGTTAAATTCAATATAGCACTGGAAAGAACTTTTAAATGCTACCACTTGGGAACACTGACTCATGCAAGGCGTGGTAAGAAAATTGTTGCTAGAGACACAGACACTTGAGAGGCTGAAAAACTGTTAGACAAGTGAAGGAAGGAAGATATGTCACTGTGGATTATTAGATTAGGAGAGTCTCGGGTAGCTTTCAATTCTAAGCAATAATTCTATTTTAAATTCATAATTTATGTGCTGTCAAGTCAGAATCAACCTGTAGAAGTCAGAATTTACTCAGCAGCAGTAAGTATGCATTAAATTGTTGTTGGAACAGTGTCCCTTCTTTTGTCAGTCTTAATATAAGGAACAACAAAAAATTTTACAAATAGGATTTACAAGTACAGGTGAAACTATGTTCGTTTTATATTTATATTTATATAATTTAATTACACAGTACAATAATAAAATATCCTATAGTCTTAAATAAACCTTAAACATTTTCTTACTAACCTGTAAAGCTTTACATAAAGCTTCATTTACAAATAGTCCTGGTGCAAAAAGTTTTTGTAAGTATATCTCCTGTAAGAACATTATACAAGAAATTAGTATCAATCTAGACAAGGAAGACAAGACTTGGAAACACTAGAATTCCACACTGTCAACACCAAAGAGTGAGTATCTATTTTATGAGCATGAAAGTTCTGCCCTTCTACATTTGAGCAATTACAGTAGAGCACTTACATCTTTAGGCTGCAAGTAAAGGCATCAGTCTTTTAATGAACAAATGGATTGGAAGACTGTGCCGTGAGGAGTAACTGTCACTATGCTCTATGAGAAAAAAGGGCCCATGACATGCTAGTCTTAAATAGAGAAGGAGAATCTTATTTGTTAAGAGGTTGTTGTTGTTGATTGTTGTAGAGTTGAGCAGGATTAATAATGACTCTATGAATGAAAAGCCTGATGCCTTTTTAGAACTATTGTCATTTAACAAAGTTCACAGAGTTTCCAGAGGCAGGTTGTTTAGGAGGTGGATACCTCTTCTGCTTCCAATTGTTAAAGAGTACAAATAAAGTAGGCTGGTTTTATTTATACTGTTCACAAAAATACTAATTATAGCTCACACAATAAGAGACAGGAACCAGTAACAACAGGTATCGTATGTTTTTTAAAAAAAGGAAATAATTTCTCACAAGTGGTGATAACACGGAAAGTCTGAGTATCTAATTATTTTGATTTAGAAATCTCACATACAAAAACAAAACCAAAAAAAACCCAACACACAAAAATGTAACCACCTCACAAACCAGATTTACTGGTCTACCAATAAGCAGCAAACATGATTAACTTTACGTTTCCTTCTAACGTGAGGTGGTGGTCAATTACAAAACAACCAAAATGAGAGAAAATAAATTATCTTAATCATCCCCGATGATTCTGGCTTTCAGATAAATGCCAAGTGCCAACAGTAATTACAACAATTAAGGACCATTATCAATACACTCTTAGGATTAAAAATTTAGCAATCTTTACTTACTAATAATAAAGATGCAGCTTCAGTACAGCAGTCATTGTTTCAGACTCAGAGTCTATACTTTTTAGTCTCATTTAACTTTAAGGCCTCCATTAAAGGCTGTTTTAATAAATTAAAAAATTATTTTCTTCATAGCTCATGGCGCCATCAGAAATGATGTTATTTCTGGGTTTTGTGTTTCTAGTAACATGGCTATGGTTGCAGGCACTTACTATTCTTATGTGCACAAAATCCGTTTCTCCCACTTTTACTAACAAATTATTTGTTTCCTTGAGGGATCATTCCTCTGTCACCCACAGTACAGTAAGTTCACTACCTTCTACATCAGCAAGGCTGAAGTGTGACATATGTGCCATCTCTAGCAGCAAGGCTTAGGCCAGATAACCAGCTCCTTATGTTCTGAAAGACTTGTGTCAAGAATGGGCAGTGACCTTATAGAGGGCAATAACTGTCAACTCTAGGACTTGGGATAGACATGTACTCTTTCTTGGGAGGGGGTTGCAGATTTACAGAATGCAGGTTCACTCCAGAAGGGAACCTGCCTGAGAGTAAAACCAACTGATGGGAAAGCAGGAGAGAGGAAAGAGCAAGTTCTGAAAGAGCTCCAGAGCTGAAGGCAAGTAACATGGAATTTCTCAGCAGCACATGCCAACAACACAAGCGCCTTCTTAGCTTAAGTCAGTTAAAGTTAATTTCTGTCACTTGTAGCTGAAAGAGTTCTAAAACAAGTGACTTTTCTCAAAGTACTGGCCAGGGAGAACCTCCTTACATAAGTGATTTCACTTTGTATTGCTTACTCTGGGGTCTTGATCATCTCTGATGATGACCTCTTCCTCTGGTAAAGGCTGAATGAAAACTGGGTTCCACTGACCTGCAACATTACTACAGAGAAAAAAAAAGGCCATCAGTCTACCTAGAAGTAATAAAGAAAAACGAAACTTATTTCAGCAGCCTACTTTTACAGAAGAGTCTTACTGGTGCCTTCTTGAAAGTGAAACTCTCAACACAAATCTACAAGAAGTTAACTTTTGTTCTGCATTTACTAGTTGCAAAACATCAAACTAAGCACACTTCTAGCTATTATACTTTTCTGTCTTGTAATATTTTAGGAATACGGCGTAACTGTGGGGCTTAGGATATCTCACAGTAAGTTGCAAACCAGGATTCACACCATGAGCTTTTTTTACCACTTTATCAACTCCTTTCAAAAATTCTGATTTTATATATAAAATACTAATTTTGCTTTATGTATTATTATTACTACAGAATTAATTGTGCATAACCTTGCACACATACATCTTATTTTTCTTTAAAAAGGGTTTCCTGTTTTAAGAAAAAGTTTGAGAGAGATTATACATGTCTCATCTTACGGATGAGAAAACTGAAAAAAGCTAAAGGGACTTTTTCTTGGAAGTTATGAAGTCAAGAATGGGCTCTGCTTAAAAGCTAAGAGTCCTAAGCTTAGAAATATTCTGCTCTCTCTCCTTCAACATGATTATTTGATCTTATTCCAATTCTAAGTCTTCAAAGTGTCTTGAACTAAATGATAAAATCCAAGAGAAGAGGTTTCAGTAAATAGTGAATAAAAAGCAAACGCAGAGTTGAACACTTTTAGTGGACAACCTGTGATTTAAGTCTACATAACAATCTTGGTTTGGGGCATGGAACTAAGAGCAGATGTTAGAGGGAAGGGACTCTTACTGTTCAAAATTGATGTATCTCACAACTGTCTGGTTCTCAGCATCGTGCCATAAGGCCCAGATATCCGTGGAGGTTAAGGCAAAGTCAATCAGTGTCTCCTAGGAGAGAATGTGAAAGAGGTTAAATAGTAAAGGCAAAGCAGTATTTACGGTGACTTAAAAGTTGGATCACAGAGAAAGGTCATGGATAAACCCAAAGGATGGTAGCACATTAAACTGTTATAAACTAAATGACATTTTGTTGGCTCTTATAATTATTTGATATGCAAAGGATGACAACCCCACCTGAGAAGTGAAGAGTGAGGAAATGTGATCCAAACTATAGCGGTTATTCTCAGTGGTCACCAATTGGAAGATGCAGAACTGTTTAAAACACAAGATGACAATTTAGTACTTAAGATAACAAATTTGCTACTTTTGTAAGTTTACTGGCATTCAGATACCAATTTTTACTTTTAAAAATTTTATTTCATTGGAAATTTTTCATTCAATGATTCCTATACATTTTCTTTTATAACATTAATTACATGAGGTGGACTGATTCAGTGACTGGGTAATCGGGATGGGTGTGTCTGAGGCAGTGTGACTGGCACTGGATAGAGCAGGGTTTAGGGCTGTTGTACATAGGGTCGCTATGAGTCGCAAGCGACTCGACGGCACGTAACAACAACAACAACAACAACAACAATGACGTAATTAGGGAACTCTGGTGGACTAGTGGTTAAATAGCTACAAATTCAAAGGAACTTGATTTGAAGCCACCAGTTGCTCCAAAAGACAAAGATGGTTAATCTCCTGTGCAATTTGCTTCCTCTGAAAATTAGCTGGAGAGTCAGTCAGCTGTGAGTTGGTCCTGATTTGATAGTACAACAAGGAGCTCTGGTGGCCCAGTGGGTTAGGAGGTGTACTGCCAACTTGAAGGCAGGTCTACCAGCCCCTATAGTGGAAGGGAGATGGGCAATCTCCCCCCTATGATCAGTGGACTTTAACTACAACGTCATTAATTAATGACAATGTCTGATCAACCATCTATTGTATACTGCCTTTCCCTTTACCCAACTTATCTATTAATTGATTTTTTTACTCCCTTTCTGTCTCCACTACATATCAATTTTGACATTTGGTAGTTTATATTAATTCCAGAGAGAATGTAAAATATATACACAATAAAAAAAATACATATTTATATAGTATTGTGTGTATATTTATGCACACACACGCACACACACAGAGTACAAATCAGTATTCCGTAAATCTTTAAGAATAAAAACCCTGGAATTCATGGTTAGCACAAAATTTATTGTGAAGATAAAAGAATTCAAAACTCAAAAAATAATCCTAATGAGTGAAATTTTAAGTAACTTCTTTAAATAAAGTTAGTTCACTATGAACTAAGAGCAATAATAATAATTACCACACTATTCCTGGGCAATCAGTAGTTGTGTCCTTTCCTTGTGAACACTACCACACAGTCCAGTGCAGTGAGTGGATGTCTGTGCAGGGATGTCCTAAGAGGTGATCAGGACAACCACAAAGAGGAGGAAATCAAGAGCCCCAGGAGTTGAGGGGAGTAGCTACAACTCCAAGTGACGTGGTTTAGGAGCATTAGGAGATTGAGAGGGTGTCCATGTGCAGGAAAGGGGTGAGCCAGGGCACTGGGGAAGGGGCAGAAGCATGGTGAGATAATGAGAGCTTAGTAGATAGAAGACACCAAAACCCACTTTGCTAGAAAGTTTTGGGATTAAGTGGGTAATACAAGTAAAGTGTAAGCCCAGAATAAGTGTTCAGTGTATTTACGTGAGTGCGTGTTTGTGTGTGTGTGTTTTCAGTGTATTTAATGGGCATACAATACCTTGCGCAGTGTCAAACACATAACAAGTGGCTATTTTTTAATAGGATCACATCATCCTCTTTTACTATAATAACCCTAATATATACAACTGTAGGTGTTTGGATGATGGAGAAAATGACTTTCAAAAATTAATGTGCCTGCAAAACCCAATTAACATTGCCCTTCTATTTTTAGCTATTTCTTAGACTTTCAATCTTGGTCTTTCCTCCTTTGGGTTAATTTACCTTTTATATTTCTAAACTGTACTCCCAGCCATCCTGGACTTCCTTAATGATCCTGTAATTAGTTCACATATTATCAGAAAACCCACCCTCATCACCTCAGAAACAACTTAACACATGAAACATTGAGCCTGGTACAGAGTTTATATAGACTCGAAGAATCCACAACCACTTCCCCATAAAATCACATACACAGAAACACGACACAGGTCCTCCGTGTTCCCTACCTGTCCATGCTTTGGTGCATGCATGTATACTCCCAGGTAGAGCCCCAAGGAAGGGGAGTAAGCAAGCCGCAGTTTGTGTCCAGTCCCAGCGATGAGCCGCAGGTCTTTATTCACAGGGATATACTCCAGCATGTCAGCCACCATTAGGCACATCTGATCCTGTGTAAGCGGCATCAGAGGAATTACAGGTTAGGAAAACAAACCCCATTCCTTTATTAAAGATGCCCAACTATCCTAACTAGCACACTTCAGTATTTGTTACATGTGAAGCATTTAGATGAAGTGATTTTTAAGGGCAAGATGAAAAACACTTCAGTCTGAAAGATGAAACCATCAACTGCTTTGTGCACAAACATAAAAAACATTTTACCACTTGCTTATTTTTTCCCTTGAGGGAAAGGGTGTATTTACTGTACAACTCCTTCAACTTTTCTGTAAGCTTTCCAATTTCCAAAATAAAAAGACAAAAATTAGGAGGGGGAAATGTTTGAAAAATAAAGGAAAATAAAACTATCTGAACCTAGAAAAGACCTATAATTCCTAAACTTATTCACTGACAGTCTTTCAGAGAAGTATCAAGTTTCAATTTTCTCATAATTCACAATTTTCACTTAACCTGGTGACACAGTACATTATGTGGTGCTCTGCAACCAAAAGGTTGGCAGTTCAAACCTACCAGCTGCTGGGAAAGATGGCAGCCTCCTCCCATAAAGACTTACAGCCTGAGAAACCCCAGGGAGGGTTGACCTGCATCAGAACTGACTCAACAGCAGTGGGCTTAGTTTTGGCTTATTTTAACTTAATTTATATCAATTCTAAATGCACTGTTTACCTTAAAAGACCACATTCGTAGTTTATGATCCTGACACAGAGCGAAGATGAAGGCATTATGCTCAACACAGTGAACAGCAAGACTGACAGGACGATCTGATGGGCCATGGTCACCCCTAAAAACACCAAAGAAAAGCCCCACCAAAAGTTTTAGGATCTCACTGTTGTAAATCATCAGAATTTGCTGCTCAAGAGACATAACAACATCATAAAGGCAAATTTAATAGAAGAAGCACATGCTTATACACTGGGATAACTACATTTTTATTTGACTTTGGAAGACTGAACATTTTGACTGGCAGCTAACAATTAAATAATACATTTTAAAATTTAGTATTAAATTTGTAAAGGTTCTACCAACTGTAGAATACTGTTCCTTTTTGTATTATTTTATTCTAACCAGTAAAAATGTTCTGACTTTAATAACGTCACACAGAACTTAATTCAGGAACTGTAAGCAGAGGGCTAAACTGGCTATTGTGAGAATCTAAGCAAGCTAGAGCCTCTGCTGCTAAGAGGTCTGTCCCAAATGAACTGGATCCTGCAGTCTGCTTTTGCTCAGGGCAAGTGTGATGTGAGGGAGAGGTCTCTTCTTTCCTGGACATCATTTTATCCATCTTGCAGTGAGACTGGAGCCACAAAGAGGAGCTGGCCAGTAAAGACTGCTGACTTTACAGGCATTGTACTGCATTTCAGGAGTCCTGGTGGTGAGTGGATTATGCACTTGGCTGCTAACCAGAAGGTCAGAAGGTTGATCACCAATTGCTCTGAAGGAAAAAGATGAGGCAGTCTCCTTCCTCCAAGACTTATAGCCTTGGAAGCTCTACAGGGCAATTCTACCTTGTCCTATAAAGTCACTGAAACAAAATCAACCGACAGTAGTAGGGGAGGCCTTTGTGGTTCTGATTTACCTGTCAGACTCATAAGCACTCACCTGATAGCTGTTGGCATCCAGCCTGTAAGTAAGCGCTGCATCACTGAACTCTGTTTCAGTTCCACGACTGACATCATCCCTACGAGAATATAAACAAGTCAAGGATGCCCAAGACGCCTCTTGATCGGAGCAGCCCAAAGGCAAGAACAAAGCAGCCATCAACAAGGTCCTTATGAATGACGGGCTTCCCCTTTTCTATGCCAACATGTTTAGGATGTTCTCTTTCCCAAAATATTCTGAATCATCACTGGATCAAAAAAATAGTACTTTTTGTTCTCCCAAGCTGCTCTGTGGAAGAAGGATGGGCAATCTTCTCCTGTGCAATTAACTGTCTCTGAAAATCCACTGGAGGGTCCACTATGGGTCAGTCTGACATGAAGGCACACAGCAACATCCCACATGAGCTCTCAGAATTACCTCATTCATTCCAAAACCATCACTGGGTATTCTAGACAAAGTAGTGAAGAAAAAAAAGAAAAAAATGCCTGTCCTCATGGAATTTACATCCGTCTGGGGTAAAGGGCAGGGTGGGGAAGAGGAAAGAGAACAGAAATAGTAAGTAAAATAAGTGAGAGAAAGGAAACAGTGAAGAGTGATAGAGAGCAAATGCAGAGGGTTATGGAGAGAAGAGGGGCTGCAATTCTGGAAAGGGGAGTCAGGGAAAGCCACACTGAGGTGACACTGACCAAAGACCTAAAGGAGTAGAGAAAGTGCTCCAAGCAGGTAGCTGGGAAAGACCCCCTCCCACATGAAGACCTGGCAAGGTCAAGGAACTGCAAGGTCATGTGACTGGCGCAGGGAAAACTAGCAGATGAGGTTATACTGCAGGTCAACGTAAAGATTTTATTTTTACTGAGTGAAGAGAGCAGTTACTGGAGAGTTTTCGGCAATGAAGTGGCATGAGCCAACTTCTGTTTCAAATATCTCATTTTAGCTATTTTGGAAGTTACTGGAATAATACTGTAGGCAATACTGATAATAGAGAACAGAGTATCAAAAGTCAGACTTTTATACTTTGATTTAGTTTAATTACAGTACTATAGTCTGAGGGTAGACTGCTAGTTGCGGTGAACTCAATTATACAACAGGACTTAGAATAGGCATTCTTACATGTATCTATTTTCACACATACTGATATGCTTTACCGTTCATCTACTATATAAAATCACATTCTCTTCTTGAGGAAAAAAATGTATTAGGAACTTATTAGGCAAGACATAATGCATGGTCCGACAAAACAAACTCTGTCTTGGAAGTACAATGTGAACCTTAGGAATGAGGAAGTCACTATGACAAATCTCCTATTTGGTGCATGATTTCAGGAGGGGTCTAGTCCCTGGAATAAGAATCACGCCTGGTAAAGTGGAGGTCTGGGGAATAAAAGAGGAATGAAATGGACTGACATGGAACAACACTGGAATCAGGAAGACCTACAACTGTGAGGATGGTGCAAGATCAGGAAGCGTCTCGTTCTACTTGTTGTGAGGTTGCTACGAGTCGAAGGCAACTCTATGGCACCAAACCACAATGCATGACCACTGCAGGGTGGTTCAGAGCAATTCTGGCATCGGCTTGATGGGACTGGATTCATAAGATCTGTTTTCAGGCCATTATTCTTTGCTTCAGCTCAAATCCACGCTCAGTTTCAGTTCTTACCAGGTATGTCATGAGGAGGTAGTTTAAGGACAAAGATGCCCCCAGAAGCAGATGGAAGTGCAAACAGGGCCTCTCCATCAATACTGAGCCAGGCTGCGGAGGCAGTAGAATTAGCGAAAAGTCCTGGGACAGTTGGAATTAACTGATTGTTGCACGGATCCCTGAAATCAACCTTTCCAATGTCAGTGAATATTGACTGCATCTGACTTTCAGTTACCAACTCCTGTGAAATAAATAAAAAGATATCTGTTAAATTGGGATAACCCAAGTTTTACCAGTTTCCTTTCAAGTGCTACAAAAACTATGCAAGTAAAAGCACTGTAAAGCTTGAAAACAAAGTTGTTCTTTTTAAAGAGAATTCTTTTTCTCCTCTTCCAACTTAAAATGTGCATTTATAGAGAGCTCTGGTGGCCTAGTGGCAAGACGCTGCACTGCAATCCCAGAGGTACACGGTTCAAATCAAAAAGATGCTCTGCTGGAGAAGCAGGGGGCAATCTCCTCCTGTACCAGTCAGATCTGATTTGATGGTACACATAAAAATAAAAAAAAAGTGCATTTATTTTTAAATAGCAAACCAACCATAAAAGCACATTTGGCAAAATGAGGTATCATCTCACCCCAGTAAGAATAGTAACATTTAACAGAACAGCAAACAACTAATGCTGGCAAGGTTGTGAAGAAATTGGAACTCTTATTCACTGTTGGTGGGCAAGTAAAATGGTACAACCACTATGGAAGGTGGTATGGCGCTTTCTCAAAAAATGCAAACAGAAATTCCACTACTAAGAATATAACCTAAAGAAACCATAACCGCCACCCAAGGAGACATATGCACACCCATGTTTACTGTGGCTTTGATCACAATAGAAAAGAGCTGGAAACAACCCAAGTGCCCATAAACAAACGAATGGATAGAGAAGCTGTGGTATATTCACACAATGGAATACTTCGCTGCTTTGAAAAAACAAGGAACTCATGAAAGATTATGCAAAATGGGTGACGCTGGAGGACATTATGCTGAGTGAAGTATCTCACTTACAAAAGGACAAATACGGCATAGTGCCACTATTGTAAAATGGGACTGACATCGCGGTTAGGGGGTGATACTGAGAAAGATGGGACAAATTATGCATACTGCACTAAAATAGATGAGGAACAGAACTGTTTAAAAGGGATATATGACTAGGTATTTTTGTCATGACAGGAGTCCAAAACAAAGGCTGCATAGTGGAGTGGACTGGAGGGAGGGATTGTATAACACTGAAAAAATTTTACTTTTCAAAGAGCGAACTGGGGGGAGGGGTGGGCAGGGAGAAAAGTGCAACAAAGAATGAATGAAAATCCAAAGTTTCTGTAAACTTTTATTAAAATTAATAATTATTTTTAAAAAGGCTAAACTAAAACCCCAGCATATTTGGCCAGGGCTAACAAGGACTCTGGGGAGCTCAAGTGATGGTTGGTAGGGAGCTGAGATGCTAACGCAGAGGCAACACTTCTCTTTAACAGTTCAAATCCACTAGCAGCTCTGGAGAAAGATGAACAATCTCCTTCCTTTCAATTTATAGTCTCCAAAATACCACTGATGGATCAGCTATGGGTAGGTTCTGACGTGATGGCAACGAGTAAATGAATGAACAAGGAATCCAAAGGATATTGCTCTAGCACTAAGTCTGTGACAGTCTGGGAAACAACCAACTTACACTCCTATACATCCGAGAAGGGTGTGGCAGAAGTAATCTGTGTACTGTCTGGTTGGTTACTATCAAGATGATCACATGATTCTGCGTCTCAGAGACATGCACTCCTCCGGGTAAGACACTGCAGTTTTGGAATTTGAGGTGAACTGCATTATTCAACAGGTTTACATCTAGTGACTCTTCCACCAGCTCCAATGTCTCTCCTGAGGTTTTCCTGTTTTAAAGAAAAGACATTTGCTTGAAGAGTTTATTCTTTCATTGACAGTGATGTTAACATATGGCAGAATTATTTCCAAGTGAAATGCTCCCAATTAAAAAAATCTAGATAAATGAACTGGATCAAATTTTACACCGTGAATCACCACACCAAAACCACATCCACTGCCAGGGAGTCAATTCCAACTCAAAATGAGCCTGCAGAGCAGGGTGCAGCTGCCTCACAGGGTTTGCAAGGCTGTCAATCTCTAGAGGCAGACTGCCTCATCTGCTTCCCATGGGGCACCGGCTGTGTTTAAACCACTGACCTTCTGTTCGACAACCTAGTGCTTTAACCACAGCACCAAGAGTTCTCCCTCTTTAGCCCTCCACCCGAAACATACAACATACAGTTAAAATCTAACATGAGACTCTGTTAAACAAAGACCTTTATAAACGTGACAGCCTATTTATTTAGATCAATATTCAAGGCAATGAGTCGACTATGATGAACATTCACACAATACACTGTCATTAGTTGGTGTGTATTTTTGCCTCCACTTACGTTACTACTGAGTCAAATAAATTGACCTCAGTAATGTGGTTACTTCCCTCCTTTAATGTTCTTGACTTGGAACAGCACAAAAAAATTTGCAGTTTTATCATTTTTGTCCGTATGTGTAAATACATGTTGTGGGGTAGTACATCTTACTAAAGAAATAGTTTTAAAATACATAAAGAACTATGTACATTGAGCAGCAGATGAGATTCTATCCTGGTAAACTGTAGTCTCCAACTGGTCTCTGCTTCTCTGCCCTGCCCTGTACTGCACTGTATTTCCAGCACAGGAGTCACGGTGGTCCTTTAAAAGCACCATGTCATCCTTCCATTTCAAATCTTCTAATGGCCTCTTTTCATCTCAGAATAAAAATCAATCCTATAAAATAACCCACAGAGCCCTGCTCTCGCCCTTAGCTAGTCTTTCATAATTCTATTCTCTTCACTCAGCTGCACCCACTAAGTCCTCTGTCATCCTTTGAACCCCGCAAACAGGGCTCAGCTCCCTGCACTTTCTTTTTTCTTCTAAGAAATAAAGGCTCACCCTGAAATGCTCTCCTCCCAGGAGGCCTAACTGCTTTTGCTCAAATAATAACCACCACTGAGTCTTTCCCAAGCACTCTATATAAAACAGTAACTTCTGTAGGCATTCCCATTGTACCTATTATGAATCACTTTCTCAATTTCAATCAGGCTCTGGTGTTGTTGACATTTACTGCCTACTCAACATGCATGGGGATTGTGCTAGTAGTCTCTAAATGCTGATTGGAACATATAGTTCTTATGTGCCATCAAGTCACCTGCGACTCATAGTGTCTCTATGTACAGCAGCTCTAAACTCTGCTCTATCCTGTACCAATCTTATAGTCTCTGACACACATACCCCCATTACCCCAGTCACTGAATCAATCCATCGTATAGAGGGTCTTCCTCTCTTGCGCTGTCCCTCCACCCTTCCAAGCATGACATCCCTCTCCAAGGACTGGTCCCTCCTTGCAACATGTCCAAAGTATGTCAGATGAAGCTTCAGAATCCTTGCCTCCAAGGAGCAACCTTGTTTAACATTCTCCAGGATGACTCCGTTCATTCTCTTAGCAGTCCATGGTATATTCAATACTCTTCTCCAACGCTCAAAGGCATCAAATTCTCCTTTTATCATCCTTAGTCACTGACCAGCTCTCTGAGGCATAGCAAGTGATTGCAAAGATCATGGCCTGGATCACGCATACCTTAGTCACCAAACTGACATCGTTGCTCTTCAGTACTATGGATAGGACTATGACAGCAGACTTTCCCAGCACAATAAGTCTTTTAATTTCCTAACTGGAACATAGTACTAAAAAAACTTCTTAAGGAAATGAAACTTGTATGTTTGACATACAATATCTAAGCTGCATTTCTGAACCACACATAGCCTTGTAAATACCAGTGCCTACTTGACATTTTCATGGGCTGCCTAACACTTCAAAAACAGCACCTAGAAAAGTATCCATGGCTTTAAATGTCATCTTGTTAGTAAATGTTCAGAGTGCTCCCCCTAGTCACCAGCTCCTCACACCAGAATCTGATAGGTGTCCCTGCAACTCCACTCTTGTACTCAATCTATCACCAAGCCCTAATGAAACTACCTTCCACACGACTCTTGATTATATCACTTTTATGAGGCACCAGCATCTCTTGTTTGGTCCAACACAGAAGCAAACTGTTCTTTTATAAAATTTCCAGTTAAAGTAAATCTATTTTCATATATTAGATTGATCTTCTATAAAATGCAATGTCGATCATGTTGGCAATGGTCAATGACTCCTCAATGTACTGAAAATAAAAATCCTTGAAATGGCCTGAAGAAGAGAGCCTTTGTGGTCTGAGTTCTGCTACTTCTTCCCTTCCTCCCTTATCCATTGAGTGCAGTCAAACCACAGATTTGTGGTTAGTTCCTGAAAACTCCTAAGTCCCTTCCACTTCATGGCCTTTGCCTATGTGGCTCCTATTTGCCTGACTGCTCTCCTCCTTCAATGCCTCCCTAACCTTCCACCCTTCAGATCTCACAGTAACTGTGATTTTCTCCAAGGCCTTCTCAGTTCTAATCCATCTATGTTAGGACCTCCCATTCTTCTCCTAGAGCCCCTTTACTTTTCCTTTGGGACATGTACAAAACTTCTATTTACACACCCACATAGACGTCACTAGTTTAATACTGGGTCCCCCCCCCTTCACAAAACTGTTTCATGAAGTCTGGGTTCATAAATAAATGCTCTTCCTCTACTCCAACTGTGGTACCCAGCACAGTGCCCGCAGCAAGTAAAAGCCCAACAAGTGGCTCAATCAGAGGTAAATAAATAATAGTTCCATACACTTAGTCTCTTGATCCATAATAAGACCAAGGCAGTAACTATCAGGTACTGCAAAAATTAAAAGAGGCCACGCATCCCATTGCTGTGGACTTGGAAAGGACTCATAGATGACCCTCCCGTGGGTTTTCAAGGCTTTAAATCACATGTGATCAGAGAGCTCATCTTCCTCCCAAAGAGCTGCAGGTGTATTTGAACTTGCCAGAGACACGGAGACGTGTGTGTGTGTGTGTGTGTGTGTGTGTGTGTGTGTGTGTGGCCTTTGGGTTAGTAGTGGAGCCCTCAGACCCCACCAGAGCCCCTCCTTCATTACAAAATCAGGCTTGTTTTGGTTTTGATCTCCATCTTAGTATTTACTTTAACACCAAAGTCACCCCATGCAGAAAGACGTTCAACAAATATTTGCAAAAGGAAGGATGGCTTAAGGCAGTATAAACCCCTAAGGGGTACACGTTTAAAACTTGGCCTTCCGAGCTTCTCTTCTTTAAGGTCCATTTCCTTTGCTTTTAGCGCTGCTTAGGCTAAACCTCTCCTAGAACTCTGCCTTCTTAATTTTCCCATGTTTCTGACATGAATGAAAAGCGACCGTTTTCCCTTCCTGGTCAGTCTTTTATCTTGAAAACGACACTTCAGAAAAAGCCAAGAATATTCAAGACACTGAACAAATACATTCCACTGGAGAGATCTGCGAACATTGCTCTTACCAATGAATGAACCTGTTTCTGGTGACTGCGAATAATCTGCCACTTTCCACATAGCAGAAGCCTCCCGCGCTCTCTCCGTATTTCACCGCTCCGGCCACAGCAGGCACAGTCCCTGCAAAAGGAAGGCGGTCAATGTGCACACGTGCTTCTCCGGGGATGACAGGGGCTAAGGATGCGGAGGACGCAGAGGATGAGAGAACGCCAACCCGGACAGAGAGAAGGAGCTGAAAAGAGCAAGGAGCCAGACACCAAGGAAAGCTCTGATGCCGGGCCCGGAGGAACACACGGAGTTAGATGAACCGGGGCGGGGGGCTGACACCCGGGACCCATGGGAGGAACCAAAGGGAAAGACCGCAGGCTCCCAGCCGCTTACGTACCAACGCCGCAGACTGTTAATTCCCGAAAATGCCTCGGCCTTTCGCGTTCAGCTCCGCTGATCTCCATAAAGCTCCGTTCCATGGCTCCCGCCGCCGCCATCTTCCCGCCGCAGCCGCGAGGCCCGACGGGACGCGGCCAGGGCCGTGCGCTGTCATCACTTCCGGGGCGGGGAGAGCGGAGTGGGGAGCCCGGGAGGAACCCGGGAGGAGCCCCGGCGGCGGCGAGGTGGGCTGGGCCCCCGCTGTCTGGGCCGCTTCTGAGTTACCACCCCGAGCCTGCGGGGAGGACGCTGCGAGAGCACAGGGGAGGGAAGGCCGAGTCTGCGACAACGCTCCCCGTTCTGGCACCGACGTCCCCAAAGGGGGTGTTGCCCTTTTCCCGGCGGCTTGTACCGGGGGCGGGGCTGCCCTTTTCCATTTGAAAACCCGCGGCGAGTAGAGCCTCTCTGGAGTGGGAGGTCCCCTGAGGGTCACTGGAGATCGCCTCCACCTCAGTCCTGGAGGTCCCCCTTAAGTGCAGCTAAGAGCTCAGCTGCTAATCAGAGGTCGGTGGTTCGAACCCACCAGCTGGAGATGCTGAAATCTAGATATTAGAGTCTTGCAAACCCTAAGGGAAGGAGGGGGCCAGTTTTTTCTGTCCTGTAAAGTCGTTATCCATCCCTCTGTAAGTCTGCACCCTTTCCGTTTCAGAGACACCTGAAATAGGCGAAGGAAAGACAGTGAAGACGAAGGGAGCTTTTAAAAAAAATTTTTTTTAAAATTTGTGTGTGTGTGTGTGTGTGTGTGTGTGTGTGTGTGGTGTGTACCGTCAAATAGTATCTGACTGGTACAGGAGGAAATTGTCCCTCCTTTTCCAGCAGAGCATCTGCTGGATCCCAATCGCTTACCTCTGGGATTGCAGTGCAGCTTCTTGACAGGAGGCCACCAGAGCTCGCCCAAAGGGAGCTTTTAATGTCTAGGATCATTTTCTTCAGGAGACTGTTACCGTATACTTTATTGTCAGGTGCCATCAAGTTGGCTGACTCATAGCGACTCTGAACGTTGGATCTAAACTCTGCCTCCTTATCTTTGCCGTCGTCATCATCTCTGATACACTCGAGCCCATTGTTAAAGTCAGTGCTTTGATTCATCTTTTTTAGAGTCTTCCCTTCTTTTGCTGATCCTCCACCTTTCCATGCATGACGTCTTTTTCCAACGACTGACCCCTAACAACATGTCCCAAGTATGTGAAACAAAGCTTTGTCATCCTCCTCTAAGGAGCACTCTGGTTGCACTTAGTCCAACAGGTATTCATTCTTTTGACAGTACATGGGATATTTAGTACGCTTCTCGAACACCACAATTCAAAAGCATCACTTCTTCTTTTATCCTTTTTCATTATCCAAAACTCAGATGCATAGCAAGTAATTGAAAAGAACATGGCTTGACTCAGTTGCACCTTAATTTTAAAACAACATTGCTCCTTAACACCTTGGAGAGGTTCTTGACAGCATATTTTACCAGCACAACACAGTCTTGATTTTTTTTTTAAATGTTATTTTGTGTGTGTGTGTGTACCATCAAGTCAGATCTGACTGGTACAGGAGGAGATTGTTCCTCCTTCTCCAGCAGAGCATCTGGTGGATTTGAACCATGCACCTTTGGGATTGCAGTACACCTTCTTGCCACTAGGCCACCAGAGCTCTCCTTGATTTCTTTACTGCTGGTGCCAAGAGTGTTGACTGTAAAACCAAGCAAGCTGAAATAATTAATAACCTCAGTTTTTTCTCAATAATTCTTGAATGGTTATCGGAAATGATGGGAAGAAGTTGTTATTAGGTGCCATCAAGGTGGAACCAACCCAGAGCTGACCCTCCAGTGAATCTTTAGAGGCAGTAAACTGCATGGGAGGAGATTGCCCATCCTTCTCCCACAGGCAGCTGGTGGATTTGATCCGCATACCTTTGGGATTGCAGCACAGCTTCTTATCACTAGGCCACCAGCGCTGTCAAGGAAGAGCACTCAATAAGTCCCCAGCAATTGATGGCATACCGATTGACATATTTCAACAAAGAAATGCTGCCCTGGATGTGCTCACCAAGTTGTGCCAAGAAATCTGGAGGATAACCACCTGGTCTACTGACTGGAAGAGATCTAGAATTGTTCCAAAGAAGGTTGATCTGACAGAGTGTGGAAATTATCAAACGAACAGTATTGATATCACATGCAAGCAAGATTCTGCTGAAGATTATAAAAAAATGACTGGAACAGCACATCAACAGAGAACGGCCTGAAGTGCAGGCTGGCTTTAGAAGAGGCCATGGCACTAGGGATATTATGGCTAATGTCAGATGGATCTTGGCTGAAAGCAGAGAGTACCAGAGGAATCTCTATCTGTGTTTCATTGACTATGCAAAGGCATTTGACTGTGTAGATCACTGCAAACTGTGACTGACTCTTGGAAGAATGGGAATCCCAGAATACTTGATTATGCTTATTCGAAACCTATACTTGGATCAGGCAGGAGGCAGTCATCAGAACAGAGCAAGGAAATGGTGCGTGGTTCAAAATTGGGAAGGGTGTGCGTCAAGGATGTATCCTATCTCTATATCTTTTCAATCTATGTGTGTAACAGATTATCCAGAAGACTGGGCTCTGTGAGGAGAAATGTGGCATGAGGATTGGAGGTAGACTCATCAATAACCTGTGTTATGCAGATGACACACCCTGCTTGCTGAAACTGAGGAGGACCTGAAGTACTTGCTGCAGAAGGTCAAGGAAGCAATTTTCAATATGGATTGAAGCTCAACATCAAGAAAACAAAGATACTCACCACTGGGCCAATTGGCAGCATCATGATAGATGGTGAAGAGATTGACATTGTTGACAGCTTCAGTTTGCTTGGCTCAACAGTCAACACTCTTCGTACCAGCAGCCAGGAAATTAAAAGATGAGATTAAAAGACAAATTGCATTGGGAAATTCTGCTGTCAGAGACCTCTGCAAAGTATTGAAGAGCAATGATATCAGTCTGGAGACTATGGTGCACCTGATACAGGCCATGGTCTTTGCAATTACTTGCTATGCATCAGAGAGCTGGACTACTAGGGATAATAGAAAGAGAATTGATGCCTTTGAGCTGTGGTGCCGGAGAAGAGTGTTGAATATACCATGGACTGCTATGATAACAAGTTCTTCCAGGAGAGGGTGAAGCCAGGCTGCTCCTTGAAGGCAAGGATTCTGAAACTTCGTCTGACATACTTTGGACATGTTGCAGGGAGGGATCAGTACTTGGAGAGGACGTCATGCTTGGGAGGGTAGAGGGCAGCGAGAGGAGAGAAAGAACCTCAATGAGGTGGATTGATTCAGTGACTGGGGTAATGGGGATAGGTGTATTGGAACTAATAAGATTGGCACAGGATAGAGCAGGATTTAGGGCTGTTGTACATAGGGTCACTATGAGTCGCAGGCGACATGACAGCACATAACAACAATAACAACAACAACAATCCTTTCTCCATCTATCAAGATGCTGTCTACTAGCCTGGTGGTGAGGATCCTTGTTTCTTTTTTTTTTT